CCACTCTCAACAGGAGTGCACTTGCTGAATATAAACACATTCACAAATCAGGCAAAATTACGAATCGGGCTGCAAGCCGCAAGGTCAGCAGTTCGAAACTACCAGCTGTTCCGCTGGAAAAAGATGAGGCGTTCTGCTCCTGTAAAGATTTACAGCCTCGGAAACCCTGTGCAGGGTCACTATGAGTCGGAACCGACTCCACGGCACACAACAACAACAACAACATTAGGAAGGTAAATCAGTTGTACCTCCGAGTCATGCAAGCAGTTTTTGGAATAGCCACATGATTAACTTCCTGCATGTGCCATCAGCATTCTGAGGGGCTTTAACAAGTAGAGAGAGAGAAAAACAACATTCAAGCAGCAAGTTCACTCCATGCCCATCCCATTGTAGATGAAAGTTCAGTCACTAGTTCTAGTCTGGTGAATTTCTGGTTCTAGAAGCCTCCACCCACTTCCCTGTGTGACCTGTGTAGGAACTGTTACCCAGAAAGCACTGGCTGCACATACAGGCTTCCTGATATGCCTGGGAGTTCCGATGGCTGGCCATCACTGGTGATCATTTGTCACGTGCCACTATCAGAAACTATGATGGGAAATGCACTCCTAAGACTAAACAGCTCCAAGAAAGACCTGAAACTCCAGAGAGGGCAAGTGAAAGAAAGGAGAGCCACAGGTGCCAATAAGTCCAACCCTGTAAGGATTCCTGCCTTTGACATTTTGGATTTCCTTTTTCTCCTGTTTGAGTCTCACTGTTCTTTGTGAGGTGGCCTCACTAGGGCAGCAACATTTACTAAAGATTTTTTAAAGCAGTAGGGCAAGAAAAAGGAAGTTATGGGTCTGCATTAAACAAAAGAAATGGAGGGAAACAGTAGAATGCAGGTGAGGAGTTAGGAGCAAATTTAAGAATTTATTCCTCATACCATCCACAAAAATAACTCGGACTGGGTTATAGACCTAAATGTGAGACCTACAACAATAAAACTCTCAGAAGAAAACAGGAGACATCTTCATGACCTTGTTGTTGTTGTTGTTAAGTGCCATCGAGTCGATTCTGACCCATAGCGACCCTATATAGGGTTTTCCAAGGAGCAGCTGGTGAGCTTGAACCGCTGACCTTGCAGTTCAAACGACTCAGGTTAGACAAACCCTTCTTAGATATGACACCAAAAGCATAATTGACAAAAGATAAAAACAAGTAAGTGAGGAAAACTCTCAGTAAGATGGACGGACACAAAGGCTCCACCAATTGGTTCAAACATGGCAATGATTGTGAGGTGATACAGGATTGGGCAGTGTTCTGCTTTGTTGTAGTCAGGGTCACTATGAGTCAGAGCTGACTACACCTAACAATAACAACTGGGAATTCACTAACATTAAAAAATGTTTGTGGTTCCAAAGATACCATCAAGAAAGTGAAAAACATATCCTTCCAATGGGAAAAAAATTGGAAATCACACACCTGATAAGGGATTTGTTATCTATAATACAGAAAGCACTCTTAAGAGTCAGTAATAATAAGGAAACTAACTCAGCAATAAAAAAAAAATAAAAAAAAATGGGCAAAGGATCTTAAATAGACACTTCTCCAAAGAAAATACACAACTAGCCAATGAGTGCACAGAAAGATGCTTAGCATCATCAGTCATAAGGGAAATGAAATTGAAAATCACAATGAGATACCACTTCACTGCTACTTTGCCAGCTGCCAAGTCCATTCCAACTCATGGCTACAATGTAAAAGAAAAGGAAAAAAAAGTGTTAAAAAAAGAAAAGAGATAGTGCCGGTGGCAGTTCCTCAAGATGATTAAACATAAAGTTACCATCAACTGCTCCTAAAATGGCACGTATCAAGCCTGGTCCCCTTGGTCTCCGTTCTCTTCTCTGAGACATCTCTCCTGACACCAGACCGTCTGAACTTTATTTCATCCCCTAAAACACTGGTTTTCTCTCTATATAAATTCTCCCCTAACAAATCCAAAGCCTTTTGATTTGTCTCCTACTTTGCTACACATTCTTCTTCAATAAAGTCCACGACTACATTTGTTTTCCAGAAGAGAAGCTCCTGTGATAACCAAAACTCCAAACCAAACTCACTCACAGGGTTTCCCAGACTAGAAATCTTTACAGGGCAGCAGTCTCATCTTTCTCTCAAGAAGCGGTTGGTCAGTTTGAACTGCCAACCTCATGGCTAAAAGTCTAATGCCTAACCCACAGCACTACCAGAGCTCCTTCCTGTGACAATAAGCTCAAATACCTCTCTTTTTCCACTTAGAAGTAAAATAACTACTACCTCATGAGAAAGTAGCTGGCCTTTGCGGAAAAGTAGAGACACAGCCTTCATAATAGATCCATCATTAATCATAGACCACCATGGCCTAAAGGAGCTCCGGTGGTTCAAAAGTTTAAGCACTTGGTTGTGAACTGAAAGGCTGGTGGTTCAAACCCACCCAGCATATGTAGGAGAAAGATTTGTCAATCTGTTTCTGTAAAGATTATAGCCAAAAACAAACAACCCTATGGGGCAGTTCTATTTTTTAACACATGGGGTCACTTATGAGTCAAAACCAACTTAACAGCACTTAGACTAAATTTCTAAATGATTGAGAAACTTATCAACAACAATAACAACAAAAAAATCAAAGAAAAGGTGCCACCTGAAACCTTCTTAGATTTAAAAGTGTTGCAACAGTGGAGCCTACTAGGAAGGGTAACAATCCACCAAAACCAGTGTGGTCCTGACTCCCTAGAGAGTTGCAAGATTTTACAGTTTTCTGGGAAGATGTCTCCATTTCCCAGATCGGGACACAGAAGTACTAGATCTTATTGTAGGTCAGAATGAAGCAATAAAACATGGGACTACGTGACCTCCATGTGCAGCCTGTCCAGGGTGGTGGTGCTCTGACTCATTATGCACAGATGCATGGGTCTTGCTTAAAGTCAATGCTTTCCCAGCCATTCCAGCTAGCCCTCAAACACACTTCAAGTTTGCAAAGAAAGAAGGTGACTGCTTCATCCACGAAGCCATGACAAGAGTTCAGGAATCCTATCCATCAGATTCCTATTCATCTGCCATGCAGAGGCTTCCATCTGATGCCCACATCTGGGTAGACCGACTGCCTGCCAACCTACCAGAAGAGCAAGCATCACACACACTCCTAGGAAATGGCACACACAGGAGCCCACACACGTGAACATACATTCAGGTTCTCTAGCAAGACCTTAAGTCCCATCTGTCCTGAGAGACAGAACAAGGAACTGGAGTCAAAGAGAGACCCGTCACTCAATACCACCAGCGGTGGACACAGTCCCACAGTGTTAGGCAATGAACCATAGACAAACTAATCCTATTCCTGGGGGCCTCCATTTCTTTGTGTGTAAAATGAAAAACCCAAGGTCTCTTCCAGCAAACTACACTACTCCTGATTCTCCCAGTCAGCTCCTTACACAGACAGGAGGCTTTCTAGTGAGAAGCAAGCTACAAAACTAAATCATGGATTGACTTCCAGGCAGGACACAGAGTTCATATTCTGATGATCCAGTGTTCCTTGCAAAATTGCCTGATGACCCCTGAGGCAACAGGAAGCAGGAGGAGCAAACTCTGCGGGGCTATTGGTCCAAAACAGCTCCTAGAGGTCTGGGCTTCTATGTCTGGAATATTCCCAACCTTGGCCGGGACCTTCACTAATCTCAATAAGGACACTGAAAAGAGTAACCTGCCCATGATCAAGAAACCAGCAAAGACCTCACATGTGCTTTGCTATACTAGATTTTAAAAGATTACAAGCCTGATTCAAATTACGGTTCACAAATATTCAGTCAAATACTTGTCTAAAAGCGAAGTGCAGTCTTGCTGGCCCTGGGCACCTTGTCATCATTTGTGCTTGTGGGCAATTTCAAGTGCTCAGAAATCAGGGGAGGTAAAAATCCACAGAAAACCCAAGCCACTCAAAGCCATTAGCTTCAGCTCACTCCCCAACTTTCACTTCCTCTGCTCATTCCTAGTATAGGGACTCTCTGACAATGTAATGTTCAGAAGGCAAGGCACAAGTGGTTAGACACGAAGGAAGACAGATCCTAAACATATTAGCACACAAAGTCATTCAAATACTCAAACACTGTGCTGCAATCCTAACATGCTGGCAGGGGTTGCTGAACGACCCCAAAGCATCTCAAGGATCCAGGGGGCCACTTTATTCATCCTAATCACCATGCATTATCATCCTCTTTAGGACCATATATTGAAGAGTTCAATAATTAAGAAGCCCACCTCTTTGGCGGGACACCATAGGAGCACACAGGAAGAAGGCACATTATTTCTACTATGAATAGTCCTCACCATCAGACCTCCCTTTCTCTCAAATGGTTACATTCTCTCTTTTCTTTAACCCAAGGAAACCCTGGTAAAGTGTCTGTGGTTGGGAGCAGGGCTCAAATAAGCCTGTGCTTCTCCAATTGATACAACTATCTTATTCAAGAAAAACTAAAGGAAACCCAGGGAGAATAGCTATACTCCGGGACATGAAGGCCTGGTGGATGGAAAACTATGCAGCCACACCAACTAAATAAGCAGAAATAGAGGAATATTCAGGCAGGCCAACGCCACTAGCCCCACTGGACAGTGAACTAGAGATGGGGGGTGGGGGGTGGGGACTACAAAGAACAAGGGGGCTAACAGGGTAAGCGGGATGAAAGCGATTCCATGGCACCCAGGCCTTCCCCCAGCGCTCCCCGACGCGAGGATACCAGACGCAGGAAGCTAGAGGGACTGGAGGGCGGAGGGGGAGACGGTGTACCACGGAGACACCAGGCCTCGCGTGGCGCGCGGGGAGTGTACACCCGGTCGGGAACGGCGTGCAAGGGTGGGGTGGGCGTGCAAGTGGCTTGGCGAGGGGTGGCAGGCTTACTGGCAGGGCCAGCGGGGCGAGGGCTCGGGGCTGCAGGGGGCGTGGGAGCGCGCAGGGCCGCGCTTGGAGGGGCGCGCGCGGGGGAGTTGGTTACCGTGTGGTTCACCCCCCACATCAGGACGCTGAGAATCGGCTCGCTGGCTCGGAATAGCTTCACTTTCTGGCACACGAAATGCTTCTTCTTGGTCTTGGTCTTGCTGGCGCTGAGCGGCGCCACCGCCACCGCCGTGGTGCTGGTGCAATTGGACGACATGCCCGGGGCGGCGGCGGCGGCGGCGGCAAAAGGGGGGGCGGCGGAGACCGCGCACAACCCAGCGGCCCCAGGCCTCCCCCGGACCGATCCCTACCCCCACTCCCTCACCGAGCCATGGTCGCGCCCGTCCCGTTACCTCCCCACCCCGCCCCGGTGGTTCCGTCCGCCCCACGCTCCGCCCCCCCGGCCCGGGGGCCCCGCCCCAGGGAGCCGGCAGTCCCGTTCCGCACCCCGCCCCCGGGCGGTGCCGCAGCCCCGCCGTCACCAAGCCCAATTCTCCCCGCCTGGATGGTACCGCCCGTCCCGGGGAGGCAGCGGCCGCCCCGCCCGCCCCTCCTCCCCGGGTGACAGGAACTGGACCGAGCAGAGCTGGCCTCCGCACGACTCGAAGCCCCGCGTCGGAGCAAGGAAGGGGGTTAGGGATGAGTAGGTTTCGCTGTCTAACACAGAAAGGTATCCCTGTTCGGGCCCCCTAAAGCTAGGATTTGACTCCCTCAGCTTGACGTGCCAAGATGGCGGCCGCACCGCTGCACCGGGAGGAGAGGAGGGGCGGGAATGCGAGAAGGGTGGGATGTACCATCCCCACCTCGGGGGAGCGAGTAGGAACACAGTAAGAGGAAAAGGAAGTTCAGCCTGGAATACCAAGGAACGCCCCCTCGCTCCACCCAGGCGTGGATCTGCCCACTCCCCTGGGCCTAGGCGCGTTCCACCCGCGGGGCACGCCCCTTCCCCCAGGGCCAATGAGAAAAGCAGGCCGGGATCCCTGAGTTTTATGAATGGGTCTCACACCCACCCACCAGCCGACAAGCCTCCTCCCCCCGCCAAAGGGTCGAATTAGAGGCGGCTAGCACCTTAAGACACCTCTCCTACAGAAGAGCATTATAACGGTCTTATTCTCTGGCTCACTTCATAAAATCTTGGAGTAAACTGCCCACGCTTTATTACATAATCTCGGATGAAAGATCTCCATATATCGGTACAAATTACCGGTCAACATTGTTCTGGAGGAATTTAGTAAATTCAGTACTCTGCACAGAAATAGCATAGTTGCTCTTTAAACAGTTACAAAAATAAATGTAGCATTTATTACTGAGTAATAAAATAAAAGCAATTAACCCTAAAATAGGGAAGTAGGATGAATAACAGGTGAATGGTACATTCTCTCTGTGGGGAAAGGCTGGGTTTTAAGTATTACAGTGGCTGCATCATATCTGCTCAAAACATGACTCCTCCCAGCCCGTCTAGTCAGGGGTGCCTAGAAGTTCCATGGTCTTCTGGTGAAAAAGGAGTAAAAACAGGAGATGGGTCCCTTGAAGATTGGGTTTTTTAATATCTGACTGAAAAGTAGTAGCAAACAACTTTTGAAATCCTAAAATTGTAATAGGGCTACTATATGATAAAAGGGAAGCCATGAAATAAACAGCTGCTACTTGAGCTAGGGAGCAATTGGCAATTCGGCCTTGCCTAGGTCCTATAATCATTTGACATTATCACTATAGAGACTTAAGCAGTGATGTGTGAAAGGACAGACACCCTAGATCCTAAACTAGCCAGATTCAGAGAGAAAAAAGGACTGCCTTACTGTATCACTCACTAATAAGGTTCAGTGTGGTTCCATTATATAGTAAAGTTACTTACCAAACAAGAGCTCCTCACAAAGTTAAAATCTTTTAAACATGTAAAACTTATACTTTTGCACATATACATACTACACTTTTACAGTTCAAAAGACAGACCAAAGAGTTGAGTTTAACAGTTAATTCAGGGTTTTGTTGTTGCTGTTTCGGATGGTTTTTCTTTCCAGATTGTTCTTCACTTTTCCCTAACCTGACATCAGTCTCACGTTATCTACTGAATCAAATAAATCTTCATTTACCCCAGTAAGCACAAGCTATCTGGGTGACTCTGGAGAGCAAGGTTTCTGAAAGTCTAGTCTATACTGAGGTCGTGGAATTGGTCTGGTTATAGGTAGATCTGATAAGCCTCACAACCACAGGAAGCAGAGCAAGACTGGATCTCACATCAAGATGGTCACCCATTCAAAAATCAGTCCAAACCTATTCTACACCCAGCAAAAGCTCCTGAGGGACTGATGGATCCCAAAAAGCACATCACACAGGTTCCCAAGGGAAGTGAGCTGTGTCAGGAATCGATGGAGGCAGGTCACTTTGAACAGTGGTGGTTTGACATCATTTGAACTCTTATAAAGAGAAATTTTAAGGGATCCGCTGCCTCCCTGGAAAACCAGCAGCAAGAGAGGATGACTTTCATCTTTTCATAAAGTTCTTCTCCAAAGCTACTGAGGTTCTCTGTAGAGAGTAGATATTGCGCTTCACCCGGTCCTCCAGGGAGGAAGTAGATGCACTCTCTAGCTTCATTCGACTAGGAACAAAAGATATGTGTAAGTCAAAAACATTTGTTTTCAACTGGTCCATTATCTGACAGAATTCAGAGAACCAGGTTGTTAGCCTTAAAGCAGCTATAAAACCACAGCAATTTTACACCTGCAAAGAGAACTTCCAAGTCATTCCATCTGGATCGAATTTTTTTTTTTTTAAAGCATCCAAAGGGGAATTTTACCTGTTTTAGAAGTCAAAGCTTTTGGAAAAATGCTCCCTGAGACATAAATTCTTATTTAAAAGATTTTAATAATTTAATGAGTTTTAATGATTTGCTGGTGGTTATGTGCCGTGGAGTCAGTTCTGACTCATAGCGACCCTGTATAGGGTTTACGAGGCTGTAAATCTTTACAGGAGCAGAAAGCCTCATCTTTCTCTCGTGAACTGCTCATAGTTTTGAACTGCTGACCTTGAGGTTAGCAACCCAACTCGTAACCACTATGCTACCAGAGCTCCTTGATTTAGAAAATACCAATTCAAAACATCCCACTATCTGGCCAGAAGCTAGGAATACTGCTGAGAAGGCTGAGCTCAGTGCTGATCTGCCCAGAGAAATACCCAGAACACAAAAGAACCAGCTGCCAAACCAAGAACCTGAGATCATCCCCGTGAGAGTCCCTGGGGTAGAGGAAGACGTACTCACTGGATAAACTTTCCATCTCGGGAATCTAGTTTCTCCAGCCTCTGCTCCCGCTCTTCATCCTTCACGTGCCTCTTGAGAATGTTCAGCCTCTCTTCCTCCCGCCATTTGGCATTCTCCATCATCTCTTGCCGTTTTCGCTCTAGTTCCTCTGCTGAGAGTTTTCTGTTGAACACAAAACCATACTATCGAATCTTCTCTCCCAGAAAAAAAAAAAAGGAAAACAAAAGCAAACCCAGAAACAGGCTGGGAGTAAAGAAATCAGGTAGAACTCTAGGCTCTCCAGTTACTGCTCTCTTTCCAAGGAAGTGCCCAGCCCAGGGTCAAGCCCAGCAGAAGCTTCCTTCCTTCCTAACCTAATGGTCAAGGGGTTTCATCCAAATTTCAAACTTTTATTGAAGGATTTCATATACTCACTCTGTAACCTCTGAAACATTTGATATGAAATAAATGGAGAACTAATCAAGAGCCTAAATCTATAACGATTCTATCCCAACTACTTACAAAACAGAGGACTAACTTATCCTTGTGTCTGCTAATATCCACCATCCACCAATTCTTAGAAATTCATGAACACAGTTCATGAGCTAGAAGCCAGAATGCCTAAGACTTCAACTTAACCTCAAAAAATAAAAGGTAGATCTTCCCTATCACTCATTTAAAGTTAGAGAGCAAGAAAAAGAGGTGAGGAAGCAGCTCAATCACTAACAATGTCAGGCATCCAAATCCATCAATTTTCAAATGGCTGTGATGTACAGATTCCTTCTTGAAAAGGAAAAATAATGACCACAGCCACATAAAGGACTGGAAACCCTGTTTTTAGAAACAAATTTAAGATACTACTAAAAGCTGGCATCTAATTATCCATAGAGAAATTACTACATTCCCTTTCAAAAAATAAAAAGTATAAAACCATAGAGAGAACAGGAGAGAAGAAAACACTGGAAGAGCAATGTTAAAAAAAAATTGTTAGAAGATGGACATGGATGAAAGAGTGTTGGCTCCTTTAACAGATTAGAGAAAACTGGATCCTAACGGCTCATATTGAGAAGGAGCCAAGTGGATTCATACTGAAAATGCAAGATAGGTTCAGAGACAGTAGGAACTGAGTACCACGTAGGGTAGAATGGTGGTGAGATAAAAGGCTGAAGACAAAGGAACTAGTTAAAAGTATAACTATATATCAGGAGGGACCAGCCCCTGAAGGACATGCTTGGTAAAGCAGAAGGTCAGTGAAAGAGAGGGCCACCCCCAACAAGATGGATTAGCAAAACTGAACCTTGTAAAACTAATGGATGGTAGTGGGCTATTCCCAGTGCTCAAAGTTGTCTTCTGAAAAATCAAACAGATCAGAAGTGTTGGATGAATAAAATCTTTATTGTAAAATTAAAAAAAAAAAGTATAACTATATAGGCGTAATTAAGACAACACTAGGTCCTCATGCCCAACATGGGGAACCAGATGACTACTCTCCCTGATGTCTACAAACAACAGATGGAGAAATCGAATCAGACAGATCAAAGGATGCAAAAGATTCAGGCACTGCAGAAAGAGCTAGCTGGGTCACCAGACAACAGAGAGGTTTTGAAAAAGACCAAATGTTCAACACTGAGCCTCAAGTCCCCACTGGGATCTGTACTGCTCCCAAATGCCAACAACTAGACTTACAGCCCATGGTCAAGTAACCAGATGATTTTTCTCTGAAAAAAGTAACTGGTCCCAGAAAGCAGAACCCCAAATACTGACACCTGAATGTCCCTCAGCTAAAAGGCTGGCTCTTACCCAACCACTCACCACTACAGAAGCATTCGTACAATGTGAGCAGCAGTTTTTCCTTTTCCTTGGTGACCTTTTTTTTAAATTTTAATAACTCCTTCTAAGCTCTTGGTAACCACGAATCTACTTTTGTCTCAATGTATTCATCTAGTATAGATGTTGTTAGGTGCTGACTCATAGCAACCCTATACAGGGGTTTCAATGCTGTAAATATTTAAGGAAACAAAAACTCTTTCTCCCCACCACCACCCCCAGAGTGGCTGGTGAGTGTGAACTGCTGACCTTATGCTTCCCCCACAGCAGCACTCGCACTCCCAACCCTAGTACAGATACGATGTTCACAAGCCTCATTCATGTGGTGGCTTCCAGACCAAGGGAATGCTGCTTTCTCTACAATGGTTTTATACTATTTGGCTCTTAAAATAGAAAACAGAATCTGAAGAAGCACAGTCTGTAATGACCAACGGCCTTAAACAAAAATATAAAAACATAGACACATTTATCAGCATCCCTGAGGGTAGCATGAATTACAACACAGCTGAAGAACCGATCCCAAGCCACCAATAGAAGATATAATAAAAGATTAAATTATGTTCATTGTACTCTGTCTGAAAAGGCAGGGAAACATCTTGGAAATTACCAATCAGAATACTTAAAATAAACCTTTTAAAAAAGTTTCTGTTCCCTGAAAATTCAGGGAATTAAGACAATTAAGGGTTGAAAGGGACCATAGGGGTCCACCAATAAAAAAGATGAACAAAAAAGACATCAGTGGTTCTCCACATTGGTTGCATACTGGAATCACTGAGAGGCTTTAAAAAAATACTGAGGCAACCTCCAGAAAATTCTGACAAAATCGGGTGGCATTGTAGGATAAGCACAAGAAAATGCTAACCACAAAGTCGGAGGTTCAAATGCACCAGCCACTCTTCAAATCCCCTATACAGGGTCAGTATGAGTTGGAACTGACTCCATGGCACTTAACAACAACAGCCACCAGGTAAGCTGGGCTTTTTTTTTTTTTTTTTTTAAGTGCCACAGGTGGTCTATATATCCCCCACGGGGGAGTAAAAGGAAGCTCACAAAAGTTGTCCACTTTATCCAAATTTCTACAAAGAGCAATCAAGACCCTCAGAAACAGCCTTCATGAGCATAATGAACTCTCCTCAGGTCTCCATCAGACCCTCTCCCCAGACAAGCACAAAGTCAGCCTTAGGCTGTCTACCATTAAGGAAAGCACCTATTTTTCTTACAGCTGATGCCCCAAGTGGGAGGGTGCTGTTGCTACATTGTGGGGATCACAATCAACATCATGAAAAACAAATGTGTATGAATTATTGAATGGAAACCAATTTGCTCTGTAAACTTTCACTCAAATCACAATAAAAAGTTTTCTTAGGAAAGAAAAAAAAAAGAAACATTCTCTTAAGAAAAACTTCTCTGGAAATCTCTATGAGAATTAACATGTTCACTTCATCAATTTTTAAGTCAAAACTATTTTGTCCTTACAGTGTGCCTGGCACAGCTGGAACCAGACCGTTACGGAGTTGACAAGATGAATAAAAAAGTTGGTTGGGCAAAAAAGGTGATCAAGATTATTCATTTGTCCTGGTTTGAGCAGCATCTAGGCCCAGGCCTGCAGAGTCTGAAGTTAATCTACTGGGCTCCTGACTTACCTGGTGTATCCGGGCGCGTGCCTCCTCTGGTAGACCTCTTTTTTAGGTGATGGGGTCTTAGTTCGGCCTCTCTCTCTCCTGTTTACCTTAGAGTTGTGCCTGTAATGGACACAGAGAGCAAAGGGGCGAAAAGCCTTCTTCAGTAAGAGGGCTTATACTACACTACTCATTGGAATAAACATGATTTGATATTAAACTGACCCCAGAGATTTCACTAACATAGTCTACTAAAACCTAGAAAACTGAAACCTGTGTAAGGTGGAAACCTGTTAGTGAAGAAAAATCCAAATATTTTTCAGTAATAGCAACAGAAGACCCTGTTAAAGGCAGAAAACTTGAGAGACCCAGAAAAGCAAGGCAGTCGCATTGAGTTCTGTTTTCACTGTGTTGTTGCTGTTGTTGTTGTTAAGTGCTGTCGAGTCAATTACGACTCACAGCAATCCTGTATAGGGGTTCTGAGGTGTGGCTGGTGAGTTTGAACCATTGACCTTGCAGTACAAATTGACCTTGCAGTCCAGTTTATTATCCAACAGTGCCGCACCAGGACTCCAGTTTCATTGTTTATACCTACAAAAATATGGTTCTAGGAATCTGATATTTAAATTAGTTTTTAAAAAATGATGTAAAGGAAATAACAAAGCTAAGACATTTGGAAAAGTCAGTGAAATGCCTGCTGTGACCAGGATCCCACATCCACAGGTTATTTCCCAGGAAGTTCCCACACTCACGGTTTGCTGGGCCTTGGGGACTGAGACCTCCTGTCCCGTGACCCTGCTTCCCTGGGGCTCTTTTTGCTGCCATGTCTGGGGGGTGAGTGGGAGGCACTTCTGGACCTGGAATGGTTCTTCAACCCATGAGCTCCCTTTGGCTCGACCATCAAAGGACCCTGCAGCCTCTGGCTGTGGTTGGAGTCCCTGACCTGTAACATTAAGGACAGGAAGGAAAATTATTCAAAAAAGTAAAGAAAACCTATTCATAAGGAAGTCTAGCAGATCAGGTCTAGCAAAACGACAAGGAAACGAACGAGCACTCATAATTACTGAGTTACCACCAAGAACCATACCGACCGAGTTAGCTCCAGAACCCCGAATATGATATACCCACTCAGCCACCTAAACTGACTGCCGTGCTTGGCTCTTCACTGCACCCTACCGCTGAGCAAGAAACAGAGGAGTGGAGGACAGCACCGAGGGTTAAGAATATAGAGGAGTCATTAACCTGTCCCCTTAAATGTGTGTACCTTATGTCCATGATTAATTAACAGAGGGATGGGAGCCCAAACACCCGCTTGGAGGTTTAGCCTCTCTGCTCAGAGGGCCCTCAGCCACAATGAGAGGCTCAGGGAAAAGGAATGGGCCTTTTTTTCAGGAGCCCCAGCCCTGTCATCCATGTGACATTTGATTGGTAGCTAAAAATGCCCATATCCAAAAAGGCTGTCAAGCTGACAGGCTCTATAGCCACTCCTTTTGGAAAGTCCACATCCCTACCTGTAAGCCATAACCAGCAGCTGCAGCTTTGGACAAAACGGGGGAGGAACTAGCCGTCTTCTTTTGAGATCTAAGACATGAAAACACACACAAACACACACTCATTGAAAAAGAAACTACACAAAGATCCAGTGTAAAGCTCTTGTGCTGAAAAATGCTTCCTGCTTCAAATATCACTTCTCCTCTCTGGATACGGTCCCTTCCTCCAGTGATTACTCGGGAGTGCTTTTCTCTACTTGGACCGTCTTTGCTGGAAGAAGCATTGGCACAGTCATGTTTTTCCTGTGAAAAACCGTGGGCCTAGCGTCTCAGTCCCAACTCCTGAATACATTCTCCCTTCCTCTTGTGCTGCTATTCTGGGGCCTAATAGTGAGTCAGCAGCAACGACAATGGCTGCTCCCACAGGGAAGATACACGGGCCTACAAATGCATTAAAAAAAACAAAAAGCCAACATAAAACCCACTTCAGTCCCAGAAGAATCATACCCAGGATGTCTGTCTGACCTATGACCCACAAGGCAAGTATCAGCTCTGCTAGGGGGTCTCCCTCCAGAAGCATGCCACCCACCAACCCACATTTAACACAACTCCACGGAAGTCTAGAGCTACACAGGCCCGTGTCCAAGTGCTCACCCCTGAGGCCCCGGTGCCTGGCAGTTCCCCAGCACAGAACAAGCATTCAGTTAATATCTGTGCAGTGGTGGGCGAGTGCGGCAGTGTGGGAGGCCCTTCTCCACCCGCTCACCTCCCCCGGCTGCGCTCCTCCTCACTGCTGGGCCGCTCGCTGCTGCTGCTCCAGCTTCGGCGTCTATGCTTCTTGTGCTTCTTTCTCTTCTCCTTCTTTTTTTTCTTCTCCTTCTTTTCTAGACTCATTTGCAACTAGAAAATGCCCAGAATATGCTCACATGTAAGGTTCTTATCAAAGGGGAACTAATATAATCTGGCCACATGCCTGTTTATATGCTTCTGGATCAACTTGGGTTCAGGACATTATCAGGGGTTCCCTGCCCATAAAAATGGGAGGCTCTCAACCTTGGTTGTACATCAACCCATCTTAGACTACCCAACAGAAACTAGTTTTTAAACAGTTTCCAGAATCACTGCCAAAGAGTTCTTGTTCTGTATCAGAATACCTCCAACTCCCCCCAAATCAAGACCACTCTTCACATTTTCCTTATCAACTAATCCAAGAGCTAATCTCCTAATATGCCATGTGAAAGCCCTAGAAGCTTCCTATGGGACCCAGGACCCACTGATACTTGAACATACTTGCATCATGCTATCTATACAAGCAGTTACCACATCCCTCTTTTTCTGGAATAATGACAGTACATAAGGTGTTTTCCAACCAATATATAAAAGTGGAATTCAAGCTGAATTAGGATTGTATAAAACCCCAAGGAGATGATCTCCAGCAGTAAGAAAGTGGCTAACCGCCATTCTGTTTACCGTCTTGTAAGGGAAAAGCAGGTGGAGAGAAATTACTGTATTAAGTAGCTGAAAGCTATTCTTGGTGCGTATCTGATGCACTACTTACCAATTCTTTGATTTTCTTCATTTTCACAGGATTATTTAATACCTCTCTTTTCTTCTCTTCCTCCTTCTTCCTAAAGAGAGGTTATGAAAATCATTACTATTTCTTTTGCAAAGGGGTTAAGTCACTGTACCCTTCACAATTCTGCACAGCAATCTTGAGTCCAAATGCACTGCACACAGAGAGGTTCTATATTGAAGTCTGTTTGATGTTTAGGAAGTCAGAAATCATTTACAAATTTGTGTCAAAGATTGAATTTGGAGAGCAGGGACGTCCACATTGGTTCCCGGATGTGCATTTGGCCTGCTTCTAAGCCTCATGCTCAAGGCTTCCCAAATAGTCGGTGTAAATGGGTATCATCTTGTATGTCAATTGCTTGCTGAAAAGCAACAGTTCAAATACTGCCCATCCTGTTGAGCATGATAACCAGCTGATGATATAGAGAGATGATTCCTTTTTTAAATGTCTTACTTTCATATACTGCTCATAATAAACTGGTCAGCCTACCCAGAGAACAATTTGGCAACAATTATCACAGCCTGCATTTACTCTTTGATCCTCCAAATTTATCTCTAATTTACTACTGTTAAAAAATAATCAAGAAAGGTCACTATAACACTGAACATTTGGAAACAAGAGAATTTTGATAAATCATGGTACAGCCATATAATATGGGCGCTGAAAACAATGTTACCCAAGTATAATGACATAGAAAGATGTTCAGAATATTTAATTAGAAAAAAGGAAATTCTAAAGTAATATGCACAGTATGGAGTCCTGGTGTGGCGCTGTGGGTTAATAGCCAGACTGCAAAGTCATTTGAATAGCAAGGTAGGTGGTTCAAGCTCACCAGTCACTCCTTGGGAACCCTATCCAGAGTCGTTATGGGTCAAAATTGACTCGACCGCAACCCTGTATAGGGTTTCCAAGGAACAGTTAGTAGATTTGAACTGCTAACCTTGGGGATAATAGTCCAGTGCTTATTCTGCAACCACACCAGGACTCCTTGCTATACTTTGTTAAATATTAGGCTTTCAAGTAAGTTCTAAAGTTGCTTTTTAAAGGCCTCTGCTGTCAGAGAAAAAGATATCGACAAAGACATTGGTCTAGTCCAGATTTGTTCATTTTCTGTCAACCCTTAAACAAAAATAGGGGGCAGAAGCAAAGTAGACCAACAGCTTCTTAGAGATTTATTATGTATATGTATGTGTGTGTTCAGTGCCATCAGCACAGACCTTGTGGCCTGTTCACCCACTTAACCAGCTTTATACATATACATGGAGTTCTGGTGTAGCGCTGAACGATAAGCACTAGACTGCTAACTGCAAGGTTGGTGGTTCAAACTCACCAGGTGCTCCTCAGAAACCTGTACAGGGTTGCTGTGAGTCAGAACCAACTGGATGACACTGAACACACACATACACACATATACATACCAATTCTCCAAGAAGCTATCGGCCTACTTTGCTTCTGCCCCCTATTTTTGTTTAAGAGCCGACAGTAAATGAACAAATCTGGACTAGGCCAATGCCTTTGCCAATATCTTTCCACATGGCCTAGGTCAATCACCTTGGATGGAGCCTCCTGTTCAACATCAGAAAGCCCAATGGAGACACATCTTTTTGCATGGCAGATACAAGCCCAAGGAAAACCAACTGTAAAGCAGAGAATGAGCAGCCTGAGCATAGTCTCAGAGCATCTCTGTAACAAAGCCCTTGTGCTGTCCCCCATCAGCACCTGATGATGAAGAGTGGGTCTTCCCGGATTTTGCTGGCCATGTCAAGGAGGGAATTGGCACCCGAAGGGGCAAAGATAGAACCTGGGAGGAGTCCAGTCTCAGAAGAACAGCCTGCCTCCTTCTCCTCCATCTTCTCAAAAACATATTTGTCAATGGGACGCCCCAACAAATACTCATCGCGGTTCACCATTCCACCAGGACCCTGGTACATCCAATCCAGTTTTTCTTCTTTTTTCCTGGTTCAAGCCAAAAAGAAAAAAAATACAGTCAAAGAAAACAAACTCCTGAAAACTTAACACACAATAATTGAACAAGACTTGAACAAAACTATAAATATAGCTGGTCAGAGCAGGATTATTCTACTGGCATATTCCTTGGGGAAGCACAGACCCCATGTAAGTTTGCCTGCAGGAATCTTGTTGTTAAGTGCCGTCTAGTCGGTTCCAACTCACAGCTACCCTGTACAGGGTTTCCAGAGAGTGGCTGGTGAGTTTGAACCACTGACCTTGTAGTCAAGAGCTTTATCCCACAGTGCCACACCAGGACTCCTTACAATTTAGTAATAAGAGAATTCTCATACACACAACACAATTCATTTAAAAAAAAAAAAAAAAAAAAAGTGTTCTTCAATCTAGAGCAAGGATCCTTGCCCAGGGTTTCTTAAATCTCTTTCAGAAAGTCTTTATGTGATGCATTCATTTCAAGGAGGATCTAAAGCAGTAAACATATCTGGATCATCTATGACACCAAGGACAATCTCAGTGACCACATACACAGTCATTATTTATTGTCTTGTTGCTTATTGCCACTTGGCACCCATCACACTTAGGTGACAAGAAAAGATCAAAGATAGCCTTGTAAGTAAAGATGCTTTTGAGAGAAAAAAGGGGGGCGGGCAAATTTTTGTCATAACCTCTTGCCAAACAAACATATCCAATGATTCTGAGAGAAAGAAGAGCTGGAAAAATGGAATCCTCACACAATAAACCGCACAGTCACACTAAATTCCTAAGAGCAAGTGGTAAAGGATCCCCTAAGATATTCACATTGAAGCAGTAATGGCATGTCATCAAAACAGTATCAGCCAATCATTGAAGTACATTTTTAAAATTAGTTTTTCAATTTAATTTGTGTATTTTTTTGTTTTAAGGTTATATTAACAACTATAAGAATAAAAAATTTCTTCCTCTTGTGTACTTAGATACTTTTAATAAAAATAATTTAAACCAACACCAGAGGATCATGACCTTTAACTTTTTTTTTCCCTATTAAAGAATCAATTTGATTAAAACTATAAGCTACAGAGAGTCCTGCTGGCACTGTGGGTTAAGCACTGGGCTGCTAACCACAAAGACAGCAGTTCAAACCTACCAGAAAGATGAGGTTGTCTGCTCCTGTAAAAATTTACAGTGTCAGAAACAGTTCTACTCTGTCTTAAGTAGGGTAGCTCTGTGTCAGAATTGACTCAATGGCAGTAGGCTTAGTTTTTGGACAGTCTATTAAAAAAATAAGAAGAAGAAAATAAATACCAACCAATCAGAACCACCACCAAACCCCCACTATCTATAACTAAGAATTGACAATGGCCTTAGTCACCCACCCTTTAGATCTGAACTGAACTCACCCCTGTGGTTCAATTTTCAGTCAAATAGTCTATAAAGGGAACATAACACTAGGCAGATACGCACTTAGAATAATCAACCGTGAGATAAAAAGGGCAACTTTTACTCTAAAGAAAGTTCAGCAGGATTAGGAAAGGAGGAGGAATGGATACAGAAAACACAAGGAGGAAGTGGGTTAAGTGATATTACGAAGACATGAAAACAAAATGTGTATGAACTGTTGAATGGAAAACTGTTTGCTCTGTAAGTTTTCACCCAATTGAACTACAGATTTGGGACTTGGCAGTCTCCACAACTGCACAAGCCATCCTTTGACATTCTAGGGGAGGGGAGGGAAGGGCTGGTGATTGTTATCAAGAGCTACGAAAGGGTATAGCATGTTGGAAAAGTAGGACATTTAGGATATCTTTAATCTCCACTTCATAGGGGCCAACCTTTTGCTAATCTTTCTAATATAAATCATTCATGCAATTGGGAATGAATATTTATGTATTTGTTTGCAAAAAAATATTTATTCAACACCCTTCCTCTGGGTCAGACAGATGATTAAGACCAGAAGGATGGGTTAGAGGCAGCTGAGTTATTTATAGGTTATGAGATAAGAGACAGAGGTGAACAAATCATTAAACAGTATTTCTGAGAGTTGACACATGTTGACATGAAGTGACTTTGGGCTCCCAAAGTAGAACAGTCTGAAGTGTTTGTGGGGCAGATTTGGGTAGCATCAGCATGAAATAAATAAATACAAGTAGAAAAAGGAAGGAGCTCTTCAAGAGACAGTAAAGAGGGAAAAGCATCAAGCTTTGGAGAGCTTTTGCAATGAAGGAAGAAGACGGAAGTTAAGTAAATGAAGGAAAGAAAAAGGATGATATGAAGGGGCAGAAGGACCAGGAACCTGTAGGCAAAGGAGGGAAAAGTTTCAAGGAGAAGGACAATTGTGTTAAACAGAAGAAAGGACATGGCAAATGAAGGCCAACACCTCTGTAAAGTAGTATTAACATGGCTCTATCTAGTCTTAAAACCATGCACCAAACCCATTCCTGTGGAGCTGATTCCAATTCATGGCAACTCCAGGTGCGTCAGTGGAGAACTGGACTCTACAGGGTTTATAAAGGGCAGTGCCAACGGCGAGCTCTTGACTGATAACCTAATGGTTACTAACCACCTAGTGGCACTGTGCAGAAAAGATCTAGAGATCAGCTTCCATAAAGATTACAGGCCAGAAAACTTTATGGAGATGTTAGGGATTGGATTTTGTCCTCCCAAAAATGTGTTGTAAATCCTTACCCCTATATCTATGGCTGTTGTGTTAATGAAGCAGCATTAGTGTAAAGTGTGTCTTAAATCCTTCTCTTTTGAAATATAAAAGAGTAGATTCAGCAAACAACCAAGCAAGCAGAGATGGGGAAAGATAGATGAAAGGAGACAAGGACCTTCCCCCAGAGTGGACACAGAGAGCAAGCCTTCCCCCAGAGATGGTGCCCTGAATTCAGATGTCTAGCCTCCTAAACTGTGAGAAAACAAACTTCTGTTTGTTAAAGTCACTCACTTGTAGAATTTCTGTAATAGCAGCACTACATAACTGAGACAAGAGCAGTTCCATTCTGCTTTAATAACAGAACACATCCTAAAGCTGAGATCCAAGACTGTAAGACTTGACTTCTGGCTCCAGTGTTAAGTGGCTAGCACTTCTGTGCACTTTAGTAACTTCATTTCTGAAATGGAGCCAGTAACTGTTGATTTGTTACTCAATACTCTTGTTACACACACCCTGACATTCTAAGGGAGTCAGCCTGGGGTGGGAATTGCCACTACCCTAATTTATTTATTTTTCAAAGCTCTAAGTCCTGGTGTGGCGCTGTGGGTTAACGCGTCAGACTGCAAAGACAAAGGTCAGTGGTTCAAGTTCACCAGTCGCTCCTTGGAAACCCTATACAGGGTCGCTATGGGTCGGAACCGACTCGATGGCACTTAACAACAACAAGCCTGCTTTGCGCAAAGGCTGAGAAATACTGCTACAGACTGTTGTCTAAGGAACATTATTTCCTAGCATTATCACTAAACAGTAGAGGAGTACTCAGAGTTATAGGACAATATATGTACAAGAAGACTTCAGAAAAGTTCATGGAAAAATTCCATTATCTTTTCACTTCATATTTACATGAACTTTTGAACCCCCCATGTATTAAAGGTTTCTATTTGACTCCCAGTGAGGTGCTGTAGGATCAGCACTGGACTGTGAACCACAAGGTCAGCAGTTCAAACCTACCAACTACTTCTTGGAAACCTTATACATGTTCACTATGAGTAGTAACTGACTCGATGGCACTTAACAGCAACAACATTTTGTCCTAAGAGTATTCTAACAAAGATGTATTATAAACATAGAAAAGACCATCTGAACCACAGTAAATCGTTACACGTAAAGCGCTTTTATTGGTGTTTTACTTGAAACTATTCTATGACACTGTGCAGAGAACTGTGCAAACCAGTCAGATGGGCAATTCCCTGTCATCTTAAGGAAGATCATCTAAATATACCCCAGGAAAAGACAGACAAAACAAGAGAACCTATATGCTTGCTTTTGTGTTTCAATGTTGGAGGCTAAGTGAGAGGGTAAAAATCAAAAGCATCCATAAACAACTACCTTCTTGACCATGAGACCAGAAGAACTGGGTGGTAGCTGGCTGCCCCTACTGAACATTTTGATCAAAGATTCTCTATAGAAGAATCTGGACCAAACGGCGGAAAATTCTACATAATTTCAATTTCTCATAGAACACAGACTTTCTGGGGCCACGGAAGAAGGATGAACCCCTGAAACTACTGCCCTGAGACAGTCATAGACTGTAAGCCAAAAATATCCTTCAGAAAACCAAACAACAGTTTACCTTAACTACTAAAGAATGTTGCCTTTATCGTTATATTCTTTTTTTTCTTTTTAAATGTTTTATTGTGAATTATGTGATAGTTTACATGGGAGAAAATTAGTTTTATATTCATCCTATTGTATATCATTATACTCTTTTGAGAACAATTTATATGGGATTAAATTGACAATAATAACTCAAAAGATTAGATAGGAAATTTAGGAACAGTGAGTTTATTTTAATGAGGGAGGGACAACTCAAAAAAGATGGGGCTGGTGAAAGATGGAGATTCTTGTAGTTCAATAGTGACTAACTGCTATCAGGACTGACTGTAAGGGCTGCAAAAGTAGAGGTAGACGTTTTGTAACAAAAGGAGGGGAGTGGTTAATTTTGCAGTCCATGAGCGGAGGACCCTGGGACCATCAAGGGAAAAGAATGGAGTATGAGACCCTATCCAGAGAAGCAGTAAGGCCAGAGATGGAGGTAGAGATGATGATGTGGAGAGATGGAGCGGCTAGGGGCTCTGGACTCAGGGAGGGAGAGGGGTTGCATTCTGACGGCTTGGGTGCAGGATTGCAGGGTATACCCTTTGGTTGTTTGATGATGCATGGAGGGGATTGTAATCATTGCAATGAAACGAAGTATGATAGGATGAATGTAAAGCTGATGTTCTCCCATGTAAACTATCACTCAATTCAATAAAAACTAAAAAAAA